ATACTAAAACAATTATTTACCTCAGTTTCGGTGAAAGTGATGGATATTTACCACGCCGCTTCGCGGCTCGGTAAATATCCACCACTATTCACCTCCACGTAGGTGAATAATTGTTAATTATAGTTCACATCTAAGTTTTCCTTAGTCGGCATTGGTCAAAGCTGATCACGTGGTACGATCTTGAGAGGGAACTTTCAGGGGATTATACGCCTAAGGGTGTAACATCAAAAGTTAGTACCCGCTCGAAGAAAAATACTCACGAAACATACTTTCTCCTAAAATTTTTAATCAAGATGAATACAAAAAGAATCCACCCTCTCTGGCCCCTCCCCTAGATCGGCCACTGGACTAATGGCACATTTGTTTGCACGAAGACACACTGAAAACACGCTGGCAGGTCCCCCTGTGATGCACAGTGTACTGGTGCGTACTAAGGGTTGGATCATTGCCCACGATCGTTACGATCGCCCTGGTCGTTGCGAAAGTTGAGCGATCATTGCGACCACCAGTTTTCTTATATATGATTGGCACAGTCCAGAATAAGAAAATGACCGAGAGGAACACGCAGTGTATCCTGAGATGTTTTTCATTGCAGCGATTGCTACAATCTGCGGAGAGCTACGGAGAGTTGTCCACGTAATCGCAACCGGCGATCTCTGCGCTCACTGTGATAGAACCCTGCGAGGTCTATATATTTCAGGCTGTCGCAACGATCGCAAAACAGTTGTTTACATATGATTGCAACGATCGCTAAACCTTTTTGACAGGGATTGAAGTGATCACGTGGAAATGGCCGTCCTCAAATAAATACAGAAAGCGTGTCCTGTTGTGTTTCTTCAAAGTTCCATTCAATATGACGATGAATCGCATACGCAATAGGAGGCTATAAAAAGGGGAGGGAAATTGTTTGAAAGAGAATGAAAGACCTTTAAAAATTTACTTCTCCTTCCTCCTTTATCGGCTTAATTATACAGAATTAGCATGATATATATTAATCAACCGGCAAATAGCATGTTAACTGGCTTCACATAAACATGCACAGAGTTTTTTCAAGCATTTAATGCTTATTTAATAGAGAATGAGGCCTATCGGAGGCGATATTGAGTGCTAAACTCTAGTTCAGGTTGATTTTTATTATTCATTTTTCCGTAGACAGTATTTGTTATTCTTTGTCAGGACATTGTGAATAATTAAGTAGTGCTTTAAGATTTTTACAGACTATTTTTCATTCCTTTCCCACAGAGAACATAGCCGTACACAAGTACGATAATAGTAAGTGTAAATAAACAAAACGTGTAAACAATAAACAGTTTTATTCTAGTGCTCACTCGCTCTAGTATTACTACTATTTGGAAGGTCTTGCAACTGTGTGAAGAACCAATTAGAATATAAGTAGATTAATAAAC